AGCTTCATCGCTTTTAATTTTCTCTCTCTCTTTTCTTTAATAGATGAATTGTTACATAGAATCATGTATGTATCCCACAAAAGGTGAAGCAGTGAAGTATGTCACTTTAGGGGTACTCTTAGCAGCAATGGTATGAACCAAGACTCTATGAGAGTTTCCCAGCATAAAATGACTATTGTGTAGGGGAAAAGTGAAAGGGAGATCCTATGTAAGACATTGTGCATCTTACATTGGGATGCCTGTATGTTTACGTTAGGATACCTTCTGTGGCAGAACAGACATAAGCCAATAATATTGGGCCTTGCTTAATGGGTCAGCCAATTGGGCTGGCCAAAACAGTAGAGTTTTCTGTAAAAATTTCTAAGACCCTTCACTTCTTGATTTCTCTTAATTTTGAATTAATGGCTAATGGTTCATCTAGCCTCTATTTATTGAAAAAATATTATGATGCCAATGGTAAATATAAATACAGTAATAGTAAAATATTATTTTCCTAATAATCATTAAAGAAACATTCCCATGTTGAATGTCTTGGAATTTTGTTTATGATTGATTTAAATATTTTTGGAGTGTTGTTTATAATAATTTATGATTGATTTATATATTTTGGAGTATTGTTTGTAATAATTTATGATTGATGTATATATTTTTGGAGTTTTGTTTATAATAATTTGTGATTGATTAATATATTTTTGGAATGTTGTTTATACTAGTTTGTGATTGAATTATATATTTTTGAGTGTTGTTTGTAATAATTTATGATTGTGATTGATTTATATATTAATTTTTTTTAAGGGAGTTACACTCTTCATCTATTCTATGTCATCACATGTTAAAACTATATCATCCACATACACAATGAGAGTTGTTTTGATCCCTTCTATATGTTTTACAAAGTGTAATTAGAGTTACTTTACTTATATCCAACCACTTTCATTTTTGCAATTAATCTCCCAAACCAAAAATTGGGTGATTGCTTCAATTCATATAAGGATTTCTTTAATTTGCATACCTTTCTCGCATGCATGGGTCCTTGTGTGGTTCTTGGAGGTAGTTCCATGTACATTTCTTCTTCTATGTTGCCATTCAGGAAGGCATTATTCACATCAAACTATCGGAAGGGTTAGTCCCTATAGGCTGCAATAGATATCAAAATACAAACGATGTTCAGCTTTGCCACTAGTACAAAAGTCTCTTGATAGTCCGATCCATATTTCTATGTATAACCTTTTGTTACAAGTCATGCCTTGTATCTGTCAATGCTTTAATTAGCCTTAAATTTCACCGTGTATACCCACTTGCATCCAACTGTTTATTTTTCTTTGGGCGCGGGATAAGTTCCATATTTCTATGTATAACCTTTCGTTACAAGTCATGCCTTATACCTGTAATTGTAAGGCTTTCATCTCCTCATTCATTGCCTTTTTTCACTTGGGGTCAACTAACGCTTCCTACACACTACAAAGAATAAATATGTTAGATAATTAATCAACTGCTAGAATATAAGAATATGATAATCTTTTAGTTGGGGTATTTACTAGCATTAATATCGGGTTCATATATCTTTTTGTGCATACCTTTGTTTGAACGAAGTCGATATTAGGGAGAAGGATATGAAGTTGAAGCATTAGATGGAGAGTTCTAAGAGGACTCTTTGGTTGAGGGCGTTAATATGGGTACCTCAAATGCTTCTTCAGTAGTAGAAATTGTCTCACTTGTCAGGTATTTAGTAATGGAAATATTTGGCTCTCGGGTCACTACTAGTTATGGCAAACTCAGAGTTTTTTTTCTAGGTTCTCTAGTTCAACAAACTCATGTCACCCTAATGTTAGGCATGATGTCTCTACCAATGCGTTCTCTTCAAACAAGGTCTCCCTCTAAAGAGAGGCGCCAGAGGATCCGACAGTAGTAGAACTTGAATTCGTAGAAGAAAACATCCAGAATACCATGCAACTTCTGGGGTGAGAAGATCATATTAGTAATAACCTTTTTGAACATCAAAATAGCCATGGAAGACAATCCACATAACATAGTTATCTAGGTTATCCCATAATTTTCGTGATTACATTATGACAAATAAAGCATAGAAATACACTGTGATTTGCTTTCAATTATTTAATTTAAAATAAAGGGATTACTGTTTCTCATGTCTTTTTTTTATATATAAAGAAAATCGAAAAAAACAGAAAACAAAAAGAAAAGAATCAACCGACACTGCTAATTTGAGGAGTGGCCGAGGAGTCCGCAAGCAAAAGCAAGAGTAATCCAGGAAAAGGTTCTGAGAAGATAGAATCGCCATCCATATCTGGGTTGTCTAACAAGAGGTTCGCCAGGTAATCAGCGCAACAATTAGCCTCCCTTAGTGTATGAATAAAGTGGAATTTCCAGTTAAGATTGATCATTGCTCGAATCTGAGTCACCAAAGATGACTCACGAGCTTTCTCACCATGCCTAGTGAGCAACACGACAATAGAGCTTGAGTCGCTTTCGATGATTAGTTTCCTGACACCCTTACCTCAAGCTAGCTAGAGCCCTTTCAGAACAACCCACAGTTCTGCATTCCATGCTAAACAAGTGCAAATTATGTAAGAAAATCTACCTCTCCAACTACCACTTAAATCTCGCAGCTCCCCACCACAAGCACCGACCCTCGGATTGCCCCTAGAAGCACCATCTGTATTTAATTTAATAAATTCTTTTGGGGTAGAAAACCAAATAATAGTACGTTGTATCGGAAGAGAGGTGTCCTGTACAAACGCATCATACACCTGCTGCACATTTTCAATCACAACGAGACGCAAGTGGATAAAAGGAGGGACTGGTTGGCCATGTGCAACTAAATTATGCCACTGCAATATCATCTAGCAGCCAAGAACAAAAAGAGTGACTCATTGGATTGTACCCGTACTTTCCCCCTTACGACTCCAGTTCCATTATAGCCAATCAAGTAAATAAACCTCGAAGAAGGTTTCCCTTTCTGAAGGAGGCAAAATAGCAACCCCTATCTTTTTGATGATAGGATAGTCCTAAACAGTATGCAGTAAGGTTTATACCTGTTTATTGCAGATGGGGCATCGAGGATCCCCATGGGACTAGTAAGCACTTCATGCTTTGGTAGGTAAGATGTTATGGGCTAACTTCCATTGAAAAATTTTCATGCGCTAAGGACCTTTCCAATCCCACAGATTTCTCCATAACGCACATGGAAGTGGGCATCATCCGTCGTGGCCCCTAATAGAGATGTATAACAGTTTTTTACCGTGACCCCAGCCGTATTTTCAAGTCTTCCAACTCGACAATCCGATCCATCCTCCAAAGCAGGTGGTAAGCAACTCCAAATCTGCTATATAGTATTTTCAGGTAGTCAAGTCCGCAGTAGCTCAACTTGTCAATTGTTGTTGTCAACCATATAATCGTACACACATTTGTGAGCTTTTTCTTCTGGGACATGATTAATAATTCCTTCAATCAAGGGCTGAAGTCCTGTTACATATCTATCCTTCCAGAAAAAAACTCAAGTACCATCTCCAATCTCCCGAATGACCTTGTTTTCCATAAATAACCAAACCCGATCGAGAGCCGACCATAGCCGGGAACAACCAGCCCTTTCAATAAATGTAAAGACGTCAACCTCATTGCCCATGTATTTTCCTTTCAGGAATCTTACCCATAAAGAGTCTGCTTCATTATAGAATCGCCATGCCAACTTTGAAAGGAAAACATCGTTCATAATTTTCGGCCGCTTCAGTCTCAGCTTCCCAAACTCCTTTGGCAATGTAAGGTATCCCATCCAATCAGATAATGTTTACGAGTAGTCTCACTTTTACCCCAGATAAATAGTGTTTCTCATGTTTACGTACACATAAAAATATGTTAGACCCATATTTTTTTTTTCTTCTCTTAACATAACTTCACATAAGCCCGACACATTTTTGTATATGTATAAGAGATAAAATTATCTCCTAGAAACATTAATCTCCAAAACAAAATAGACATGTTAACTATCAATTTCAAGCGAAATCTTGGGGGGCAGTGACACGTTGAGCTCTCTTCCCATCCTTAAAATTTTTTAAATGAGTCTGTGTCACTTTTTTTTCTTGAAACTTTCACCTTATCATCCATTCAAACATCGCATAGAAGTTTGTAAAAAACTAGCGCTAGTCCTTTTAAAAAACACAGTTGTCCTTTAATTTACCTTGCCCCTAAAACGATTGTCTTTCTAAAACACAAGTGAAGAATACGAAAAGATATCACATATGAAAAATCAACGTTTCTTTTTGTTTCTTACATTAAATGCTTTTACGATTTTATGTTTTTATGTTTTCCTTTAGATAAATCCCTTTCAAATTTTAATCAGTTTTACTTTTCCTATATTTTCTTGCATTGTAAAAATAACATTATAATTCAATCAAATATTTCATTTAACCTAGTCATCGAATATTTTTTTGCAAAAAAAAAAAAGAATTATTAATTTACTTATTGTAGTAGTTAGGGTCATATGGTATAATTTGCATTTCTATATCCAAAAAAACATAATAGGTATCTTTGCATTTTTGACACTTTGATTTATGCTTTTGTTAGAATGAAATAATTTGCATACTATCTATTTTCTTTGTCTCAAAGGGAACCTAGGGATATGATGACTCACTGGCCATTCCAACTTTTTTCCTTTGATGGGAGATATGCCAAATACAAATAGTAGGAGAACATCAACTTCCTCTAGAAATGAACTTTGTTTGAATCTACATAATGAAAGAAAAAATAAATACCATATTCTTTCTTTCCTTCACTAGTCCTTAGACCTAACATATTCAATAACTAAGCTAGTGTAGGAGGAATATTTACTAATCTTCCTTTATACTTTCTGTCTTTTTCAAGGTCCAAGAAAAAGACTCTTCATCTGTGGAAGTATTGGCTTGCTTTTATTTTTCCTACCTACAAAGGAGGAAAAAGAAAAGAAGGAAAATAGGTGCTTTTGCAAGACACAATCCAACCCAGTATACAATAATACATACTCAAACCATATTTGCATTTTATTTTCCCAATTTGCTTTTCAAGAGCTTCCCTTTCTTTTGGATTGAATCCTTCTTGCCATTCATGATCCTCAAGCTTTGCTTTAGCAAATCAAACTCTCTCTCCTTTTTGTAGTTTTCTTTCTCCATTGAAGCTAATTGAGCTTTTAAGACTTTGATGGTTTCTTCCTTTTCTTGCAATTCCCTCTTCAAATTTTCCATTTGCATGTCATCTTCCTCTGCTTTCCAATACAGACCATCCCCTATGAACATATAGCCAAAAAACAAATAAACACAACCAACTCAAAAACAACACACACACATATTTGTTTCTAACTCTACCTTATGCAGTTATCTTATAGTAGCATGAATATTTCTGAAGAAAGTAAAAATAATCACCAAACTATAGCATATCTTAATTGGGTTATTTAGATAAGGCCAAGGATTGAACCCCACCAAAAATACTCATAAAAACTATATTTTTTAGTATAACAAGAGAGAGAGAGATACCATTATATGTCCTCTGAATGAGGTCATCAAGCTCAGTCTTAATTGCAAGATAAAGTTGCTTCCATTTCTCAACAGCTTCATCTCTTCTTGCTTTCTCCTCCTTCATTTGTTCAACCAAAAGCTTAGTACCCATTAATTCCCACTCTTTCTCACTATTTTTCTCAACCATTCCAAGCTCTTCCATGCTTCTAATCTTCTCTTCTTTCTCTTCAACCAACTTCCTCATTTGCTTCATCTCCTCTTTCATCCTCTTCCCTTCTTGCTTCCAATCTGCCTCCTTGAAAGTGAACACCATTATCTCTCTCTCATAGTTCCTACCCTCTTTCTCCCTCTCATACATCATCTCCTTTATTTCCTCTTGCAAAACTCTCACTTTCTCTTTCAAATTCATAACATATTTTTCAGAAAACTTCCTCTCATTCTTGCAAACAGTGCCACCCATCTTTGAGTAATAACACTCTCAAAGTGATGATGGGAATATTGAGTATTGTTGTTCTTATAGTGAGAGAGGAAAAGATAATATTGAAGGAGGTATGGACAGCATAAAAAAAGGCTAGGCTCTTGACATTAAAAGAAGGCTACAAGAGTTTTAATTTGGGGTATTTTATGAACTCAGATAAGGTTCATAGTTGTACTTATAATTCAATAATGGAAGTGGTGAAATGGGATTCGTGAATAGCACTTAGTAAGATTTTAACACTAGATATATGGACACCACATGTTCTGGTAAATATAAATAGGAATATACATATTCACATGCATATATTTCTTGGGAGCGTGGGGTAGATTTATGACCCCAATAATTACACAAATATATTGACTAATAACTGGTCCTACTCCAACATCTAATTTTGCAATGAAATAATGCAGGGTTGTACATTAGCATCCCTGCACAGTTCTCCTTCACACATGTATATTGTTCATTAAATATAATTCTCGTGAAGTTAATTTTGCAAGAGTTTATTTTGAATTATAAATATTTAATTTTGATAAAATATTTAATTTTTGAATTAATACAATAAAATATTTCCCGTTTTACATTAAATAACTCAAAAGCTTAAATTTAAATTCAGTGACAAGAAGGAAAGAAAGAAATAAAAAACTAGTTGTGCTTACTAAGTGACAATTTGTTCAAACCAAAGTCAATTTCAATCAAATTGAAAAAAGTAAGTAAACTCATGCATGTTTAGCTTTTTAATGGTGAAATTTCTCTATCATTATTGGTAAGGAATAAAAAATTGTTCTTATAAACAATTGAATAAGCCCTGCCCCATAAGTCACATGAGTAACACTTAAACCCCAAAGATTAATTTTTGAAGTAGAAAAGACACATTATTAAACTATAAAAATATATATATATTGGAACAACTGTCAAGTTGTCACAGTTTGCTAGAAACTCTTTCTGGTCCATACCAACCAGAGAGATGGTAGATTAGGCCTACAACAAGGGTAGTCATGGGAAGCACATTCAGAGTGTGACAACAATATTCTTAAACTCAGGGTTAGTCATGCTGGGATAACACCCTATATTTGCAGGTATTCATTGTCATTTGATTCCATAGAAACAAGATTTCAATGCGTGATCATTGTATATTTCCCTATACGACATTATCATGTTGGTACAAAAAAAAAAAAAAAAAATTAATAATGGTTTGTGTCACCTTTGGATTCCCTTGTTGAAAAGGACTTGTGGCATTCCTGATATTATGGTCTTGGAGTCTAGTTTTTCCCTCAAAGGTCTAATCTCATTAAATTGGCCTGGGTCTTTCTTCATCCTTTTTGGTATGGCATTTAAATGTTGCTTCAATTACTGTCTTTTGTCCATATCCTTAAATGTGGTCATGTCGGTCATCTGTGACCAAATGAATAATAAGCTATGAAAATGCAAATTCATGTGGTGGGTTAAATTGTGTACAAAGAAAAATTATCAGGAAATAGAGCTTTGACAATAATTTCATTTTACTATTATTTGCGCTATGCTTGCTGAATATATAGCCTCATTCGGGCACTTATTTTGATCATCCAGTAATTACCCATCCACTTAAAGTATAAATGATCCTTTCCATATATGATTATTCCTCACTTTCACACATGAGAAATCACATAATTTCATATCTCCGTGGGGTCCATAGGGCTAGAAAATGATTATGACATTACATTTTTCACGTTAGGAAAATTTTCTCCATGCTATAAATATCATCATTGATATTGATCTTCGTCTCTATTACACTCACAAGTAGGGGTGAAACTGGGCCGGACCACTCTACAGGGGCCTACATGGCTCGGCCTACGTCAGGCCATGCCTGATCTAGTATATTTCGTAAAATAGGCCGGACTTGGACCTTGAAAAAGCTTGTTTAATAAAAAGGCCGTATGCTCACTTTCACAAAGCCTAGCCTATAAGCCTACAGGTCGGCCTATATTGTATTATTTATTTTAAATAAAATAAAATAGAATAAGTATGACTTACAGGAAAAACAAAAGATATATATTTAATCAATTGCAATTATTTATAGCTTAATTATATTTTAATAGAAATCTGACTTTATTTCTTATGTAGAAAAAATCAACATCTCAGCATGTTAGATTGTGTATATGAATATATTAAAAGGTTTTTGGGAGATGTTTTACTTATTACAAGCATCATGATGTGTTTGTTGGATTCACGTAGTTATTTTAATTTACATAGTATAGATTTGTTTGTTGGATCTGATGAAATATATGTTATTTAGTTTGAGCATTTTGTTTTTGAAATTGACTTAAATGCAGATTGTATGAGTTTTGTTGTGATTCATGATTCTATTTGGACGTTGAAATTATGATTTTTGGTTTAGCAATAGAATTTGAGTATTTTGTAAAGTTGATTCATGGTTCTGCTTGGAAGTTAAAAATTAACAGGCTAACGGGTTAGGCCAGACCATTTGTTTTTTATAAACGGGCCAAGCCAGGCTAACAGTTATACTCGTACTAGGCTTGGGCCAGGCCAAATTGAAAAATTTTGGCGTAGGCTTGGGCTTTTCGGGGCAAAGCTTGGCCCAGCCCAGCCCACTTTCACCCCTACTCACAAGTCATAATTGGGTCCAATTACGGGAAAAAATTATTATGTTCGAGACCCATCATTTATTCAGTGATCCCAATTTTATAAATGGAAAATTTTATTTTTTTTTTATCCCTTTTTTTTTTTTTTTTACCCTCTCAATTCCTTTCCTTTTTTTATTTTGGAAAGGGACCAACATGCTCCAAGCCCACAAAAAAACATCTCCCAATTACCTCCATCCTATTCTCAGCTAGTCCGAGACTTCAACAATTACCTCATTGAGTTATAGTTCATGCTATTGCCTCTTTAAGTTACTATTACGTTGATACACTTCACCTTTCAAAAGAAACATCTTCACCTTCATCCATTGGCGGACCCACTTGCGGGCAAATGCCCGCAAGTGCAGTCATAAATTTTTTGATTTTAATTTTTTTTTTTTTTTTTTTTTTTTTTTTGTAGATTGTTATTTGTCTCTTGATTCAATATATATATTAGGAGTAAATAATTTTTTAAGTCCCTAACAAAAAACATGATTCTCAATTTAGTCCTTTACAAAAAAAAATTAGTCTCGAGGTCCTTAAAAAATTTAAAGTAGATCAATTTAATTAAAATCGTGGTCCATCACAAATTCAAAAAAGACCTACACTAGTCCCACAGAAAGACCAAAGTGGGTCCATAGGGATCAGGTGACTAATTTTTTTTTTATAATGGACTAAAGTGAGGACCAAATTTTTTTTAGGGACCAAAAATGATATTTATTCTTATATTAGTTAGCAACGTAACAACGTACGAAGATGATTAAAACAACGCAACAACGCACATTGATTAGAAAGAAAACTTATTCTTCCTCCCTTGTCACGTACTCATTTCCACGTTCTCTTCATCCTTTGTTTCCTTTTTTATTTTTATAAAAAGAGATGATTGATTGTAGGTCTGACATTCTCAAATAAGTTAATATCTAGAGACGAGACCTTCACTGTGATTTTGTTTTACTTCTGTATAGGTAGTGTTAACTTTTTTATTCACCACTATAAAATAGAAGGGATAGGTTATTCTACTTACCATTTTTTTGCCTACCTCTACCTACCACCCTCCAACACCGTTAGATCAGAATCTTAACTAACATTTATCTTTTTCTCTCTTCTTGAGATTTTGATCTAACGGTATTGGAGAGTGGTAGGCAAAGGTAGGCAGAAAAATGTTAGGTAAAATAACATATCCCAAAATAGAATGATGATGTATGGATGTACTGGAGTATATTCTCATATTTGTTTTGAAGGATTGATAAGATTTAGGGGGAAAATAATTGGTCAAACTATTGTCTGCAGCTTGTTATGGAAGCAACTAGATTATGAGCGGGTTCAAGCGTTGATTTAAACTTTTACATAAAAAAAAAATTCTGGGGCAGCCCGCCACTGATTGTGCGGACATAAATTTTTTTTCCTCGGTCCGCCACTGCCTTCATCCTTTTGACAAGTTCAGGAAAAAAAACTATAATTTAATATTTATATAATCTCCAATCAAACTAAAGAGATTGAGTCTAAACTATAATAGTTAATAGAAGTTTTAGTTTTTAGTTGTTATTTTTAAAACATTTTTAGTTTTTAGTTAGTAATGACTTGGCATTTCTTTTAATTAAAAATACTTTTTTCATTATTAATAATACTTTTATTTAATAAAATATTTCATTTTTTTCTCTTGTCTTTTTTTGCAAAAATTATTCAGAAGTCGCTTATCTCGAGTTTTTTAATTGATTAAATTTTTATTAAATTATTTTATGAATTATATTTCTTTTTAGAAATTTGTTCACTAACTATACCAAACTAGTACATTAGTAAATAGAAAAAAAAATTCCCATTTCATTATCAATTTTAAAATGTACATTTTTTTTTATGAGCAACACTGATATAAAATAAAGAAACCAGTTACATGTATTATAAAAAAGGGGTGTAAACAGTAAAACACAACATTCTATTGTTAATAATATATCAATATAGAACAATTAATGGGGTATTTAAGATTGATCAGTTGTTATGATGAGGGAAAATTATTGTTTAACTTCATGTAATCTAACTATAAATATGGATTAAACTTAGATAAAGTTATTATGATATTTGTGATGCTGTTAAACTTTTTATAATTAAGGTGTAATAAATAATATAAATATTGTTACTAAAGAACAATATTATAAAGGGTTTTATAAGAGTTATGTTGTAGGAAAAGTGATTGTGTAATGTTATAGAGATTCGTTTTGTGTGCCTTAGTTTTTTTTTCTTTTTTCTTCAAAAAGTGTGAATCCCACAAAATATTGTGGGTAGGAAAATTTGTTGTGTCATGTTAAATGAAAAATGTAAACCGCTGTTATAAATGCCCAAATAACTTTATCTAACTTTTGTCCTCTGAAT